GAACAAGAAATATTAATTTTATCTTTCATTAGAAAGTTTTATACCAAATATCTTCTCCATCAGGGCTCATGCAGTTTGGAAGACATGCATGAGAAGGTGTGGTATGAAGTTGAAGCTGGGTTCTGGTCTCAGCTCTGCCACGAAATGATGTGTGGGGTTTGAATCAGTCTGCTGATTTCTGTACCTCCACTTCCACAGTGGTGTGGATTCCTCACACTTTAAAAATGGCTTTCAGTCTTCATGGTGCTTTTATAAAGAACTGTTACTTGAATTGGCTCTTACTGCTCTCCCAATTACTTGTGTGTCTGAGCTCTGAGGTACTTCCTATACCTAATTTTACAGCTGCCTGGAGATGTAAAGATTCATTTTTCTATAGACAGGAGCAGAAGATATTGGAGCACTCATCTGAGCTCACATGAGAAGACTGTGGCAGCAGAGCTGCTCCTGTGTATAACTCAGTCACAAACCACCATCCTTGTAGATATTCCTGATAGTTTTTGAGTACACTAATATATTTGAACAAGTATCTGTAATGGTTAGGACCACATTTTTTTGCTTTTCCTGCAAGCAGGATGAAACCTTTAGTTCAGATGTGCACCCCATTACCATCATCTGGCTCTTATTTGTTCAAGATCAAACTACTGGCAAATGCTCTACGTGGGGCTAATTTGAAAATATGATTCTAATCCAAGAAAGGTATGCTTGCACTAAAAGTTGTTAATAGAGAGTTGAATCTGTGCAATGGAATGAATTTAAGGTTTATCTGAGTATGACTAAATGAAAAGTAACAAAATAAAATATTTATATGTATACATACAACACACTGCTGAAATTAACAGGCATCCATTGCTCTAATACTGTAAAATGAAACAGATGTCATAAATGCTGATCTATTTTGTCTTTTAGCAAAATATCTGGTTTATTCCATATTCCTTCTTAGTTTTCAATTAATGATGACATTTTAAGGGATGAAGGAGGGAGGTGAGGAAGGGGAAATTATACTTAATTTTTCCAAATTGATGGAAATCAAAGAAACTGGAAAGAAAACCTCTCACAGTGTTGTTAATAAGTTCCATTCAGTGGGTTTATTTGTATGAAAAATTACCTGAATACAAACAAATTTGTTTTCTGAAAATAGTTTACATTCTTATACTCAAATTCAGTGACAATGTGTAAGACCTCCAAAGTATGGTGTCGTAACAAAATGAAAGAAGTGTTCAAAGAGTTGGAAAATATTTTTTTTCCTCTTGAGTCAAAGAAAGTATTCTTTTGAGAACTGAAGTATTTTCTCTTGAGTAAAGAAAGCTATTTTCAAAAGAGTAATAGTCATATTGCTGATACTGAAGAAAATGTCCTTCTGCCAGCCACACCATTATCTCAGTGGGGCTTTGCACTAGACAAATCTCATTAGCTACAACACCAGGCACCACAAGAACTAGACATGCCATGTTTTGGAGGACAAGAATTTAATACTGATGTCCTTGTTGCACAGAGGAAATGGCAGTGTCTGAACTTGATATTTTCAACATTGGAAATGACAGAGGTCATGATGAGCTGTAATTCTCAGAGTTAGTGGTGATATTTTGGCAATTTTCACCAGAAAGGACAAAAAAAGCACATAGAGAATGTGAAAAAGAAATTTGAGATGAACAAAATTAGCCCAAAATTTTGAGAGTGTGAGATGAAAAACATCTGAGGAAAACACCTGAGGTGTATGGCTGATGCAGTACCAAGGTGGCAGTGAATTTAGCTCAACCCTTCACTCTTGTCAGGGAGGGGCTGCTCAGTTCTAGATGGGATTGTTGCTTGATTGTTACTCAGTGAATTTGGTATTAGTCTCACCTGCAAGGTAGCCCATTTTTTATTATTTCCTTATATCCCAAAGGAGGAATTCCTCAGTTTGTGAATCTGCAATGTTGTCAGTATGTTTGAATGATCAAAAGAGACTGAGTTGTCTCACTTTAGTGAATTATCCCTTTCCAGAGGACCACAGAGGATGCAAGCCTTGCTCATTTTAGATGCAGGCTCAGACATGTTTACATATTTCCTCAGTCATTTAAAATTGGCTTTATTTTCTCTTGCAAAAAATGTATTACAATCATTGTACACCAATTTAAATAAGGCTCATGGGACTGTTAGCTACAGAAAACCAATAATCCCTTTTTTCTTAATGAAGATATGAAAATGTAACATCCCACTTTCTATTCAAGTCAGACATAGAAATTAAGCAAACTTGATCAATTGTTGTGGCTGTGATTTTAACCACTTATTTATCTTACTAGTAATCCATCTTCAGCTCCATGGTCTAGTGCCTCATTTAATAATTTCATTCTTATGGAAGTCCACTTTACAAATAATCTAATTAAAAAATTAACTTGTTCTAGTCATTCAAAGCAATAAACACAGGATAAATGGAAGTTCAGAGAAATAGAAGTTATATGGACAATAAAAAATATCCTTTTCATAGCTGCAGATAAACGGTTTATCTTAGTTTTACAAAAACAAAATCATTCTTCAAATTGATGTATTTCAAAACATGCCAGATTTCAGAATATAATATAGCTGAGTATTACTGAAATGTGGCTTGACTCAAATTGAGGTAATTATGGACTGTCTCAACAATATTTCACTTGTTTTGGCAACTGGACTGAGCTGAATGACTGCAAGGTAAAGAATAATTTCAAAATAAGCTTTTTTTAAGGAACATGCTTGTTAAAAATTTAGCAAAATAAGCAGGAAACATGAGAAAGTTTGAAAACAGAGGAGTGACATAGAAACCACCAGCATGCTGTGCTGAATTTTTGGATTATTTTTTCCTATCAAAGAAATTTATGAGATTAACACGTTGTTTAGGATATTTTCAACACTGCATTGAATTCCTTCCTAAATTAAGGGTTATCTTATACAGCTCAGTCATGCACTGGGAGGGATGACTGCTGGGAACGGGATTTAAGTGGATGTAAGTTATGTGGAAAGGGGTTTTGCTAAACTGACTATCTTGTTCATCAGACCAGTACTGGCCAGCAAGAACTACAAGAGTGCCCCACTGGTAAAAGCTCTCAGCAGAGACCCCAGCTGCAGGTTGCTGACAGACAATCAGATATCTGGGCAACCCTAACTCGTACAGGATTCAGATCAAATTCTTTTTTCCCAGTTTTCAGTTTCCAAGCAGGTTATAAATCCTTTGCAAGGTTATGCATTTTTATTTCAGTATCCAAATTCTAAAGCTGCTATATTCACCATCTTTTTTTCCTGTAGAACAGAGTCTGCTGCTCTCAGCTCTCAGCTCTGGGCTTGATTTGTCTCCAGCAATTAGCAGGAACTTGGTTGCTATACAGCACTAATGAAAGGAGCAACCTTGTTTCCTTGAAGGCAGTATAAGCAAGCATAAATAAACAAATGCTTCGTGGTGTTAATCGTGTAAATGAGATATTATTGCAACAGAGAAAGTAAGATACTAACCCTTTTTAAAGGTTTGATAGCTATCAACCTTTCAACTTGCTATGCAAAGCAGAGCTTGAGATGGGTAACTTTTTTGGCAAATATTTAAAGTATGAGTTTTATAGAGTTGTATAGAATTATTTTTATTTATTTATTTATCAGAAATAGTTATTATTATTTTGTAGAATTTAAAGTATTATGAGTTTTCTCCTTCATCTGAATGTGAATGACATTTTTGTTATATTTGTTCTGGTTACCCATTTTTGGGTGGGCATGGCACAGGTTTCCCAGAGAAGCTGTGGATGCCCCAACCCTGGAAGCACTCAAGGCCAGGTTGGATGGGGCTTTGAGAAACTGGTCTAGGGAAAAGTGTCCCTGCCCATGGCAGGGGGGCACTTAAGTTAATCCTTAAGGTCCTTTCCAACCCAAACCATTCTGTGGTCCTATGATTTTTCTAGTGACAATCTGCCTCCACAAATTTGCTAGTTATTGTTACATCAGTGTTACATCATAGATGAAGGTCCATGGTCAAAGCCAGGAACATGAGAAAGTTTTAATTTAAAACAAATCCTGTTAGGTTGCACTGAACTTTGTAATCTCTGGTTCACTGAATTTACTTCTAAGTGTGATTCTTTTCTGAGAAGTGACTGTAAAAACTGTATCACACATTGTCATGTTTGTATTTCAGCGACTTTGCATCAATTTTGTTCAGGATGTTTGATTTTGTTTTAAAACCACCAGATACACCAATGAAGATTTGAAGGTCATGCTGTGTTTAAACTCATGTAGCACCAATAAAAATGGCATTTCTGAGAAATGAAATCTCACTTACCTCCCAGCAAAGCACTTCAGTGTCTAGAGCAGGCTGTGCTGTCAGATTTATCCTGAAGTGCAAGTAAATCCATTCTACTGCCAACCTAAAATGCAATCTCTCAAAACAAACATGCTAAAATTATGGCATAGTCTTACAACATTAGCATTATGAATTGCATTAAGGTGGAAAACTTTGCTAAGGCTGATCATACTATCTCATCATGGGACAAGCTTCCATCATTGTAACAAAATAGGGGAATTATGCTGAGGAGTGGGTACTGTAAAAGTACTAACCATGTTTTATCAGGTATCTGCAGGTAAAGGGTGTTACTCACCTGAATTATTCAGTGTCCTTTTAATAGATCTCAGTATTTCTGGAAAATGCTGACCAGTTTTTGCTAATGGCTGCATAATGCTAACTTTTGTCTTGTTACTTGGTTAAGACAAAGATATATTTATTTTTGGAGATACTAGGCACTGAAGGCATTGGTCCTTTTGTTCATTTATGTTCATTTATGTTCATTTATGTTCATTTATGAACAAAATGAAAGCAGCATATTCTAAAGCAAACTTCCTCTTTATTAGCTATTAAGTATATTTGGTGTTTTAAGAGAAAAAATGGAATTCCATGTGGTAAAAAGACATTAGTTGGACACACAATAATTTATTCTCTTATCTGATTTCTGATTCTGACTTAGCACACTACAAATTTTTCCTTTTCTTCTCTCCTTTATTTTGCAGTTAACTTTGACCACTTTCAAATATTGCGGGCTATTGGGAAAGGGAGTTTTGGAAAGGTAAGAATCAACTTATTTTTAGCAGTTAAATTTCTAATAGGGAATACTTTTGTGTTTTTCTGGTTTGATTATGGTCAAAGAGCAGAAGTTTTGTAGCCTTTTCCTTCTTAAGGACAACTGAACAAAAGTATGAACTGTCGATTCATTAGAATATTTCCATTATAATCTATTCACTAAAATTAATTGAGCAAAACTTATAATAATTAATTATCCCAAATGGAGAAATTAGAATTTAGAAATCAGTCCTAGAAACAAAAATGAACAAAAAGGTAGGAGCAGACTACTTCTTTAGACAATCCACCAAAGTGATGTTGTTCTTAAATCTCTGACCTTATTTGTATCTTTAAAATAATTGCAGTATTTTAAAGGCACTTTACATAGAATAAATCCTCTTGGGACTGTGTAAACTGACATACAATGTAATTATGATCATTGAGTAAATGTTTGTTCAATTCAACAGGATTTTTCTGAAGCAGAGAAGATTAATGGTTTGTTTACACTTGAGTAGACAACCTTTCTTTCCTATAATAGTGATTATAACAAGGTTTTAAATTTATAATACAAAGCCACATAGCCACATATAATACAAATACCAAGTCAGAGAAAATAATATTTTAAAAATAATAGAAACCATTTCTCACAGGAATAGATCTGAAGGTGAAATATAACTGACACTTGATTGGGTGACTGATCAAACAGCAGCTGTCTAGATCTTGATTTCAGTGATTCCTGAGCACATGCCAGCTCAGTGCTGGTGAGGCACTCTGTAACCATGCATTAAGAGCACACAAAGGATTTTGCTGGTTCTTGGCCTCCATGCAGAACAATGACTTTAATTTTAGAGAGGCCAGAAATACTTCTTGCAGAACAGCATGGTCCTTCATGGCATGGTCCTTATTCAGTTCAGTAGTTTTCAGCAGAAATTGTCTTTGAGGTCAATAGGAGTACATGCTGCTTGGGAAAAAGGGTGCTTAAAACACCCTTAAAATCAGAACAGCAGCGATCTGTGATTGTTTATTATAACAGTACAGAGGTGGAACACCATATCAAACTAAATTAAGGTCCAAGAGTGCAAGTTATATACAGGAAAAAAAAAATTAAAGATGTCCAAATCATACTGACCCTCACAAAGGAACAGCTATTTAGATCAGAGTTCAACATTTTTGGTTTCACATTGTCTACTTCTGATTTTTTTTAACAAATTTTTAATATACAAATAAAACTTGTTTCATAAGAATTTCTAACCTGCCTTCCTACAATGTATCACTATGGAATCACTAGTAGCTGGAATATGCTAAGCATAACTAGATTAAAAGTCTTCAAGAAAGAAAGAAAGAAAGAAAGAAAGAAACAAACAAACAAACAAACAATTTCCTGTTATTTATGAAGACCAAAGCATAAGCAAAGAGCTACCTTTAAAGCAAAGCAAGGTCACTGAAGCCAAAAGTCTTTTTGAGTAGTGCCCTGCACCTGGCTTGGGTAGCACTGATCCCTGTCCTGCTCTGTGCCTCTTTTGTTCTGCAGCAGATAATGCAGCAGGGCTGTGCCAGTGTCTGCCTGCACAGATAATACCCCAGGGAAGTCTGCATGTGCCCAGGAGTGCAACTGCTCCGTGGCCACACACATTCTGCCACAGCTTGCCAGCCACTTAGCTTGAACAAAAGAACTGGCAGCTTACACGGGAGCTGTGGCTGTGATGGTCTCACCTGGCTCCCACCTCACCTCCTTTATCTGTCCCTTAACAAGGAGCAATCTGAATTCTCAAAGGACACCTTTGAAGTGAGCCCCTTCATTTCCAGAAAAAAGAGCATGCTTGTGGTTTCTCTTCTCTCTACATGCATTTCCTGAGAACTGCTGTGGTGTATCTTTTCCTGAAAAATATGCAACAGGGTCTACGAGACTGCACCTGCTCTTAAGGTGTCCCTAAGAACTGGGTACAGAGGCAGCAGCTGAAAGCTGGGAGCCGCTTCTCAGAAAAGACAGGCACTTGAGATACAAAGTACTTGATACCAAATGGCCCAGGAATTCCTGTGACAGCAAAAGTTGGGACTGAGAATTGAAAATGCCAAAGACAAAGCCAGCTGGGGGAACATCACAGGTGCTGGGGCAGGCAGCCCCAGTGGAGGAGCTGAGGTGCTGAGCATCACCTTGAGCTCTGTGCACAGGAGCGAGCTGAGCACAGAGGCTCTGCCATGGCAGATACCTCCTGCAGCAATATCCTGCAGAGCCCTAAGGTTGCTGTAGCAACCAGAGTAATTTAAGAAATATATAGAGAGAGAGACGGAGATATTGTACCAAGAGCAATAAAATAAAAAAATAGAGCATGTCTTAAAACATCCTATTGCTCTCAGAAAACAGAAAAGGCCACAGAGGGGCCATAAAGGAAGCAGGCAGTTTTAGGAAAGCGTGATACTGAACATGGTTTTATACGTTGCAAGATGCTAGAGCACAACAGACCCCGAGCAGTAAACACCCTGCAATAGAGATTAACAGTCTTGCATCCTTTTTTGACATTTTCTGCTGCCAGGTACTTCCAGAAGGACAATAATAGGAAAAGTTGCCAGCAACTAGGCTACTAAATGAACAATAAAGGCAAGACTGACTCACAGAGACAGACATTTGAAATGGTGACTGATTTACCATGTTGTGCTTTTGGCTATGTTATAATAGGTCATTTTAAAATGGGCTTCTTTCTTCCCCTTGCTCATGGAAGGAAAAACAAGGTGATTTGTCAGAAGCCTGTACTCATCTGGGAAAAAGAAACCTGTTACACCAAGGACTTTCTCGTTGCATTTGACAACTGCAAAATAAGGATTTAAGTTTAGAGGGAACTCATTCTTTAAGCATGTTCCCTGAGGATCATGCAACTCTATTTTCACCAATACAGATTCCCCAAAGCGGGTTCACAAGAGCCACACTCACATAAACCTGTAAGAAAATTAGATATTTCTAGAAATATCATAGAAACATTCACCAGCTCCCTGAGTGCTGTGAAGAAGAGTGGAGGCTTGTTTTATTTTCCTGTATAATGTGAAAGGGTGAGGGCTCCTTTGCGAGGGCAGACAGTAGAGACAGAGGCACGTGATAAGTTAGAAGCGCTGTCTCCTGCTTAATCTGGCTATTTTTTTCCATGTTGTAAGATGTAGAGCTATCACTCTTCTCAAACAAAATATTAAAAAAAAAATTATGTATTTGAAGATCATCCAATAAGTACAAAACCAAAGAGGATTGAAATTGAAAAATTCTCATTGTCCTTTACTGCAACAATAACCATGTAATTGCAGGTTACCGCTGCAAAATAATTTGTATTCAGGTGTAACAACTGGTTCTCAGAGATATTATAGTACCAATTTTCTCTGACTTCTCTCTTTGTGGGAGTAGTTATATTAAACAATCTGACCTCCTTAAATTCAAATTATAATTTCAATGTACAAACTCTTTCCTGTTTGTCTAAGATGCTGAGACACAAGGCTTAGTTCTGATTAATTTGGTTGTATAAAACAGTGACTTCCTGTGATAAAGTAAATGAAATTACAGTGGTGTAAACCAGATGGAAGCCCAGAATCATGTCTGCACTGATTGAGGGTACTTTAGTAAATAATATGCAAAATATTTCAGAAAAAATATGCTTCTATCCTAAAAGCAACATAACACACAACTGCAGAATATTAATATTGTTTGACAGTATAACATCCTGTTTTTTAGCTTGAGTTAATATGAAAGGATACTAAGCAGATGCTTCAGCTGCTCCAGATGTCATGCTTTGCTCAGGGGAATCTGGGAATGAATCTCCCTATTTAAAGGAAATCCCCTGGCAGCCTATGATATCCATTCTGCAGACTCTTTGTGTAAATCTTTCCAGCTCTTCTTGTAGGCTAAGACTAAGAACTAGTTTTTCAGAGTACATGGGCAGTCAAGGGGGCAGTATTTCAGGCAGATGCTCAACAGCAGGTTCATCAATTCCCATCTGGAGTGTATCTGATTTCTGTCTTGTGTTGTGGTGAGTGCTTCTGCCCGTGCAGTGGCATAGCCCCTGTGCCGTGCTCCTGGCAGCTGTAGCTGCCCCATCTCATCTACTGACGTGAGATGCAAAGTGTCACACAGGAGCATGATGAGTGTGTGCCCCAGCTTCCACTCCCCACCTAGCAGTGCCCTTGTGCACAGGCTCCTCTGGCTGTGGTTTTGCATTTCTCCTCTTTTATCACCTGCTGTGAAACCACATCTTGTGGCAGTCTGAGAGGTCTAAGTACTCCTGTGCTAAATTCAGAACAAAATTGAGTCTAAGTGCACCCTGCTCTTTCCAGAGCATGCACATAGCAGCTCTAAGTCTCTTCTAGTGGGAAATAGGGGAAATCTGTGTTTTGCACCAAGTCTGATATTCCAGCCATCACCATCTTCTGCTCTGGGAAGAACTTTGTTAAAGCTACTCGTGGTTGCTCAGCCAACACATCATGCAGCTTCCTTCAGCAAGCTTCTCTGTTTTTTGCATGTGAAATCAGAGGCAGTCCAAGAAGGTAGTTCAGAAGTGAGCCACAGCACATGCTGCTCTTGAAAAATGAAGCTTAGCCCTACAAATGTAATCTTCCTTCCCCAGATTCTGAGGGAAAGTTTCTCCAAGATACTCTGGTCGAATTGCTTCTAACCTGGTAGGTTTTAAGGCAGTTCATTGTTACCTTCCACCAGAAATAACAAAAGACACCACCCTGTGATAACAACTAAGATATGTTTAAAATAAAAACCTCTTCAGAAAGCAAATATTTTCACAAGAGGTTTTTAAAAATAGCACTATACCATTCCAGAGAAAATGAATGGGGTTCATAATGCCTACCTTTAAACATGTACAACACAGATGCCTATATCCAAATTGGTAATCTACAGTCTCTTTAGGGGATGTTAGAGAGAAACCATTCCAGGTACAGAGATAGTCCCCTACCTTATGTGGACATGGCCAGTGTCCCTCTCAGCTGACTATGAAGCTGGATAGTTGAGCTCAGAACACATATTTGCTCTGAATCATCACACTGTCTGGCCTTTGGAAAATGATATTCACAGAAAAATAGAAAGAGTGTGCGTGTGAGAGGCTTCCATACTGATACATGTAAATAAGGCAATTCTGTACAGACTTGCATCATAATGAGTCATCACAGATTTTTTTTTTTTTTTTTTTTTTTTTTTTTTTTTTTTTTTTGTTGAGGAGCCAGAGCACCTGTTTATCCCTATTTTAAAATTGCTCCTTTGGAACAAAAAACCCCCCAACTTAAACATTTCCCATTAAGACTGTACATGTGAGAAGAGCTTGAGGGTTTTTCCTTTCCTGCATTACTGGAAAGTTTCAGTCCATTGATGTCCTGCTCAGGAGAAGAGCTGACAGTCAGCAGGTAGAAGTGCCAGGGAGGATCTCCACTATCATCCAGTGCTGTCATAGCAATGTCAGGCACTTTTCACAATAACATCAACATGGATGCAGGTCATGTTTTCTGATTTTTATTAGGAAGTGGCTTCATTATATTCATTAAAATCCGATTGGTTTTGTAACCATGTTAAAGGATTTGCGTAGGTACACGTTGCTAGAAAATGTTTACTATCATTCTGCTTTGAAGCTGTGTGTTAGGCAAGCTTCTACCAACAACAGAAGGTCTGTTTCAGCCGTGCTGAACACCCTTGTCTTTACTGCCAGGTAAGAGAACTGAGTGCCTTCTGGAGTCCCAGCAGTGTTTCAAAATAGGTTTACATTACATATTTTGGTGCTGCATATGATCTTGGTTTGCCACATTGGTCAAACTTGTAATTCTCAGCTGAGTAAAACTCCGTGCTCCCAGCAGTCTCTCAAGTTAATCCTTCAATAGGGAGGCTTTTAATGTAACGGATTAGGAGCCTTCTGCAAACACCTAACTCTTGGCCAAGTTGTACATGAAAATCATGATGGAAACTAATGTACACGACTGAATTTCTGGACTTTGTTTCTGAGCTAAAATCCCCAAATGTTGTACTTTATAATGTGACTTGCTAAATTGGCGTCTCCACATATTCTAAGACAGGATGTTAGGATTTGTCCCTGAAAATTCTGCTTATGATTTTGATGGACCTGTGGGAGCTTGAACAATTAATTTCCATCCCTTCTTTTCCCACTCAGTTTCAGCTCTATCCCACTTGATACTTTTTCTTCCTCCAAAAGGCCAAACACAATTCCTCATGGTTCCACAGCGAGGGTTATTTCCATGTAAGTGTGAACATTTTGTTATCTTAAGGGTATCAACAATATCCAGATTTTTCATAACAGTCCAAGGTGAAAAATGAAACAAGACTTCAGTACTCACCGTTGTGCAGCACTGATGGGCTCAATATAAAGTGTCACTGTCTGTGTTTTCCTTAATAGTGGAACGTCTCCTGGTCTTAGGAAAGGTAATTAGAAACCCTGATTAATCATTAGAGGTTAAAGATACTCTATGAATTCCTGTATTTGGAGTAGATTTGTGCTCAAGGACACACTTCACAAAAATAGAGTTTCAGAGAAATAAACGTGGTCTGACCTTACCAGCCCTCTACAGTTTCAGCTGTGGGAAGTTGCCTTAGTTACTCCTGATTGCTCCTAAATATTGGGCACATAAGTTCCTTAAACTCAGACACAAAGGAGTTCTCTTTGGTTGTCATCATGTTGTAATCTCATCTCTTACCGTGAATTCATTAATTAATTAATTTTTTGTGTGCATAGTATGGGAACGTGTATGGTTTTGTATGTATTTAAAAATACAAATGTTTGTGTTTGTATGTATTTAAATATACAAATAAAACAGTAATGCCCACACCAAGTGAATGCAGAATAACTGGATTCTCAGACACTACAGACCTGGGATATCTAAACCAGACATTTTGCTTGTGACGCTCTCCATTCTCAAGGTAAAATACCATGACAGAAGACAATCCAGACTTCCCATGGGAGTTTTCTTGACTAAGGTTTTCTTCATGCATTTACATTATTTGACTTTTGTATTAAAAAAAAAAAAAAAAAGATATATTAAAAGCATAGAAGTTTACTGCCAGAGACTAAACATTGTAATGGTCTCTTGTGAATTCAGAAGCATTATGATGAATATCTGTATGAAAATTCTTTTTCTTTTCAACAATAATTAAGGGAGCATAATTCTGATATTATAGATGAAATATTGAGCCTTGGGAACACAGGCAAGGCTTATGCAGTAATCAAGATGTGAATATTGATTTGTGGGATTGAAGGCAATGACAGCGCATTTTCCTAGGCAGAAGGCAGTAATTTCTCTGATTAATTAAATAACCTGTGATTTCAGCCATTGCAACATAATCTTCTCAGCTTTACCATGTAACTTCTGAAAGTTATGTTATTTTTGTATGTCCCTATTTCTTCTTATGCAGGGTTGAGTTGTTTTTTTGTTAATTTTTAATTACAATATATTACAAAGAATCCTGCAGAGCTGTGAAGTGAACTTACTAAAGGTCTTATTCAGCTGTGGTATCCAGATCTGAATTATTGAAATACCATCAAAGACTCCTTTTTTTTCCAGAGTCACAACTGAATTCACTGTCTCAAGGTGTCAAAATTTTTCTTTTACTTTGCTGCCAATTAGGTGTGCATTGTACAGAAGAGAGACACCAAGAAAATGTATGCCATGAAGTATATGAATAAACAGAAGTGCATTGAGAGAGATGAAGTTCGCAATGTTTTCCGGGAGCTGCAGATAATGCAAGGCCTGGAGCATCCCTTCCTAGTCAATCTGTGGTAAGAAAATCTTTAAAATGCTCTCATGACTCATTTTCTCCTTGTTGCTGAAACAGTTCAGAGAAAAGAAGGCTGGAAAGCTGAAAAGAAGAAAAGATTTTTAGTGACCTCCTTTGTAAAAGGTATTAGGTTTTGCAGGGAGTTTTATTTTTCATTAGTATTTTTGAGGTGTCTTTTTTAATTGGAATATTTAAACATCAAATTCATCTGTTAATTTCTGGTTTGATTTCTCTCCAAATTGTTGCAAGTGTGTGGAAATGTGTTGTCCTGTCCCATTTATTTTTGACAATATCTGGACAAAGCATCTCGCATAAAGCTGTGGAATATCAAACCAAATCATTAATTTAATTTTTTTATTTGATTTTATTCAGAGAAAATTCAAAACCCCTTACGTTCTCCATGCTAGCCACTGAATCTTTTGGTCATATATGAGTAGGAGAAAATGCTGGTCAAGCAATGACTAGCTTCAACTACACCACCAGCTTACAATATTTACTGGCTCTTCTGTAGTGTGGCTTACAATACTTGCTGGCTTTTGTAGTGATAGTAGTCATGGGATGCAGAGTTTTCCTCCTTATCTAATGACCTGAATCATCAGAAAATAAAAAGGTGGAGGGGACATAAACCTTTTACAATATGAAAATTATTCAGTTTGTGAATAGCTTGATTGGCTGAAGATGGTTACAATGCACATTGATCTTGTGTTTGGTGAGTTTTAGCTGTCTTACTTGAGGTCACTGCCTAACCTACAGCGTTCTACCCATCCCTTAGCTGACTCCTGGTGCCAGGGTAGCACCTTTCATAAATTAAAAGCCAAACTGTGTCCTGTATTGAGTGAACACAGTTTTAACACAATTGCACTCTGTCATAACAGAAAGCATTTGAACCCAAAATTGATTCTAAATTAGGTCCAAAAGGACCTAATTATATACATACATATGTGTTCTTCACTTGGTGTGAATGATCTGACCTAATCTAATACCCTGTTGAAGGCTTAAAGTAAAATACATCATTGTGACTGTAATACAAAACTTTCCCAGTATATTTTGCAAGGTTCCAGCAAGCTGTAGTCTTGGGATTTCTTTACCAAAGATATGGTATGTCTGTGCTTAGGAGCCTGTGGAGTTCTCTGTTATGTATTTATCTACCTTTTTTGAAATCCCACTAACTTTTGTTCTTTACCAGGAGGTGTGGAAGTTTCCACCATGTAAACAGACACTGCACAGAAACAGTCATAGGTTAATGTGATCTGAGAGATAAACATAACAGTGCTGAAAGACTGAGGATCAAATATTTATTGTGAAAAAAAGAATGCTAGATTCCCATTACTGAGTTATAATCAGATGATAAATATTATTTCTCATTTTTTTTTCCATGCCAAAGATTAAACTTCAAATAAGCAATACCTTAAAATGTATTAGGCATCATGATGGCTTTGATCCTTCCTACGCTTCTAAGATACCGTCACAGGATATGGAGACTCAAACATTATATGTGTATATGAGAAACGCAGAAAATGAAAGAGAAATGTAGTACTTTAGAATTACAAAACATTTCAGGCAAATAGGACACTATTCAAGATGCTTCAGTGCACTAGCAATTTTTTATATTTGATGTCTTTTGCAATGGTTGTAGTTGAGCAATCTGCAAGCACTTGTCTCTCCCCTCTCCTGACCAGTGACAGGACTCGAGGAAAAGTTGTGTCAGGGGAGGTTTAGGTTGGATATGAGGGAAAGGTTCTTCACCCAGAGTGTGGCTGGGCACTGGCACTGGCTCCCCAGGGAAGGGGTCACAGAACCAGCCTGACAGAGCTCAAGGAGCATTTGGCCACTGCTGTCAGCACACGATGTGAGTCCTGGGGTGTCCTGTGCAGGACCAGGAGCTGGACATGATCCTTGTGGATCCCTTCCAACTCAGGGTGTTCTGTGGTTCTATGATTCTGTATGAGGCTCTACTGACACTCCCCTGAACTCAGACTAACACAATTAGAATTGTAGGAATTTTTCTAAAAGATAATTTCATTGACTCTTATTATTTTCACCTGAAGGAGTCACCTCAAACACTGCACATTCAAATGTCTGGATTCAAAGCCCTCACTCCAGAGTGAGCTACTGAACTGCTGGAGAACCTGTATTTCACCCTGGGACATCAAAGGGAAAACTTGAGCCTGAGCCTTCCCAAAATTAATCTACTCTACCTAAATAACTCTCTCCGTGTATCAGCCTTATAATATGTTTCTATAAAAAATTAGCCTTGAAAAATCCTAAATTAATTTAAAATATCTTGTGATATATTTCTACTACATCTTGTGATATATTTCTACTATCTTGTGATATATTTCTACTATCTTGTGATATATTTCTACTACACTTGTAGGCTGCAGTAGCATTTTCCAGACCTCTGACTTCTCTGTCTCAAATCTCAGCTGAATTTCAAGATATTCTACATATTATAACTTCAATAATGACCTTTGTTATTGAAATACAACAATAACATTGTCATTGATTGTTGGTGAGCTAGCATTCTGTTTAATGTATTTCTACTTGCAGTTTAGATGTAATAACAATTTGCATCAAATACATTTACATTGTAGTTATAACTTACATTAGATGATTAGCAGGAATCCATGAGTTTTCCTCCTATGAGTCAGTTCCTGACACACTAATGGAAGGAAATAGTTGAATCTGCATTTCTTCTATGGTAATTGTAGCTAGATTAGTTTCATTTTTCAGAGTCAGATTTTGCTGTTTGTTTTGTTAATTGCACTGCAAATGTACAAACAGACTGTAACAGGAGCTACTAACCCTGTACTGTTTCAGAAACTGGAATATTAATCTAACAAGCAACAGTTATGCCATGGTGTATGGGGAATAAGACAACTTCAGCTTGTTTAAATGCCAAAGTTCTTTTGTACTAGTCTGTCTTTCCAGACAGACTTCTCTTAGGGTTCATATCAGCTTTTAGAAAACCTGTCTAAAGTATGATTTTTGTGACTAAAACCCAGAAATTAAAATATTTTATTTTTCCTAAAATACAATTTTTCTGTAACAATGATTTCAGTGTCTTTTTTTTTTTTTTTTAATTTGGCTTAATTGAAATAGAATAGTACATATTTCAATTCAAAATGTCAAATCCTAAATCAATTTTGAAAAGTATACTTGGAGGAAATTCTGTTGTGATAACTTTTTCATGAGTTTGTGGTACTGTCCCTGACCAGAGCAACTGATTTTCAATAGTTTATGATCTGGACTTCAAAATAAAATTAAAATAGTAATAAATCTCCTAACAACTCCTTGAACAAAAGGGAATACTAAGTAAGCATATTAATCTTTCTTTGAGAAATTACATCACCAAAAGTAAAATCTGGCAATTTAAGAAGCAAACATGAATACTGAAAAGTCCTTTAGTTTTCATGTTAACTGAAGAAAGTAATGAGATGTGTGTATACAATCCATCACCAGTTAAATTTTTGTGGAGAGAAAAAGAAGAGGAAAGAAGGTAAACGTTCTGTGGTGAGTGGTTCTGCTGGATCTATCAGTAACCACAGCCTGCACAAGAATACAGAGCAGTTCATGGAAAACAAGGGTAGCATCTTAACTCTGAAAGATCTCTATTAAGAAGCTTTTTGAGGCTCATGCATCTTCTCTGAGCTTTATTAAATTTAACTTCACAATCTCATCCTATAAATCACATTATTTGAAGTATGAACTGTCTTTCATAACATCTGACACAGAAAGGAATCATTCTTCTGTAAATGCTCAAGGATAACTGTTTTGCAGGAAGGGTTTGCGGTTGATTTATAACCTTCATTTTATAAATGAAATTGAATAAATGCTTAAAGCCACTTTTATCACCATTAGAGGCATTTCTGATAATAGAGATTCCTTCTTGAAATAAAATGCAGTCCTGTTTTTTACCAGACCTGGTTTTTTGTCATGGGTATTTCAGGCATAGATGAATGGGCTGTAGAAATGTCAGCTGCCAGCTTGGTCCCACCTTGAGACTGTTCCTTTCTAATATTCAGCATTTTATCCATGCTCATTCTTCCCCAGATATCTGAGTGTACCCTGGGCAAGATGAGTGGTGTTCCTGAAAGTATTCACATTTTAAATGCGTTTTTTACCACATGCATTAGGACTAAGCCAAGAGCCAGGTTACTTGCCAGGTACCAGTGCAGGTAGATTTGGTATTGTGTGACTTGTCCTCAATCATTAAGAGATGTTTGAAGCATCCACTGGCTGCTCTGAAAACAACATGCTTACCACAAAAGACAGAAATTTTTTCTCAAACAAAAAAAAATCATGTATGAAAGTGGTTTCTATGCTGATGAGGAACTGAAAAAAAATGAAAAAAAAAATTTGGACCATTTCTCAATTCACATTTTTCAAAAGTTTTAAAACATTGAAGTGATCTTTTTAATAGCCTTGCTAAAATTTTTGTACCTGCCAGAACATTTTCTAAAGTAACAGAGGGAGACGAATAACCATTTTCTTTTTTAGCTTATAGGTCATTTTCCTAGAACAGACAAAACAGTAAGTTTGATTTATTCAACAAGCCATGAAGAAGTGTTAGCTGTATTCTCAGAGTGGCTACATACTGTGATGTATTTTTCTTTTGATTTATCAGTTTATGGAAACTGCATGTATTCCATGACAGACCCACAAAAGTACTCTACTGTTGCCAGCTACAGTAAGTTTCAAATCCAGTAAACCAAAGAACACACATTGCAGCAAAAATGTTCCTGCATTTCTGAGTTCATCCCCCAACATGACTTCAAAAGAAAGAGGAGGTAAAAAAGAGGAAAAAAACAACATTCTGGAGACAAGAAATTATTTGTTCAGTCTCAAGTGTTGGATGGATTGCTTAATGTACAAATATATACAAGACACATAACTGGAAATTAACACTTCCTTGTGAAAGGTGCTCTTTCTAGAATATTTTGGGAGCAATGTCATCTTGGACTACCCCATGGTATGGCTTTGCTCTTCAGGTTGGTGTCA